ATTAATCAGACTTTTTATAGTAAGCAAGTTGCTTAACATTTGAAACTTTTTTAAAAGTGATGTCTACCTTACAATCTCAAGTGCGTTACAAGTTTTATGTGATAAAATGCATTTCGATATGCAGCAAATTAAAAAACAACAAGAAATTTTAAGTTATAAAAATAATTATCTGTGGCTTCAATTTATTGGCATGAAAAATCATTTCACTTATTTGTAAGAGGAAATATAAATATTGATTTGAGATTAGCATTGCAGCTGTTCAGTATTTCAGTATACCCATTAATTATTGCAGGGCATAATTTTGAAAAGTTCAAGGAAAATAGAAAGATCATTTTTACAGTTTTATTTCTCTTACTACTATCTAGAAAATGACATTTTGAAATCAGTATTTCCTATAAAGAAAAATACCCAAATGTATAATTTTAATAAATTTATATGCTAAAATGAATATTTATTTTCTTTTCTGTTTGGATACAAACCAGCATAGACATGAACTTAGCTCTTTTCTCCTGGGATACAAGAACACACTATTCAAATTCAATCAGAACATCCAGATGTAAATGAACTGTTCATCCAGGGTTCAAAGGATGTTCACTTTGGCTTTAGTTCTTGCAGACTGGATTTATGTCAAGACTTAAGAAAAAATTAATTAGCAGTTCTGGACAAATTAACGAATATTGTTATTTCAGCTTGAAATCACTTAGGTTGACTAGTTATCGCAAAAGAAAAGTTGTCAAGATGTGATCAATTATTGCTTAAGTATAAAGATTAAAAATTAATCTCCTGATGTGAATTGTGAGGGCTTTTTTCCCCCACCATATTTTTGAAAAGCAGGATAGGTATTTATCAGAGAGGAATCCAAAATCAGAAGTAGGAAAGAATGTGCTTTTAAGGTCTTCAAAGTTTTTATCCCTATTTAGTCTTCTCTTTCTTTCAACACACCACACCAGGCTGATGCACTACTGTGGCTGTCCACTGCTGATGGCTAACTAACTCCCTGCTGGTTGCCTGAACATGACTGCATCAGTTGAAGGATATTTTGACTAGAACAACCTACTATGGTTATAGAAAGTGTAATGCTTTGTTCTCACCAGCTCCAAGGAATGAATATGTGACAACCAAAGCAATATCCCCCAAAGAATGTCAGATATGCAAATTATTGATTTGAATTACTTGTCTGACCTCACGTTTTCCTAATGGTAATATAAGAGGTTAACATATTTCAAAAGTTTGTCTTATCTTTTCCAAAACGGCGTTTTGTTTTCCAGAAGTTTCTGGCCAGCATGATTTAAGAGTGTTATAACCTGGGACTCTCAGAGACCTATTGAGCATAGGAGTCTTACCCTCTAGTAAAATAAACCTGGATTTGTAGAATGTCTGGGACAGAAAATCTTCCTCGCTATGTTCTATTTAATGTATTTGGATTTGTACAATACATTTCCTAGAAAAATTCTTCCTATTACTCATACATACCCAAGGTAGGACAAATATAAAGGAAACCACTTAAATGGCAGAAAACCAAGAATAAAGAACAAATTTTTAAAGTAAGCAGAGAAAAAGACACATTACATATGGAAACAATGAATGACGGCCAACTTTACAGGCCAGAAAATTATAAAATACTATCTTTAAAGTACTGAAAGAAAAAAATCAATCTAGAATTCTATGTTCAACAAAAATATCCTAAAAATTGAAAAAAAAAAAAAAAGAAGCCAAAAGCATTTCCAATAGACAAAAGGTGAGAGCATCTCTTCAGTAAACCTGGACTACACAAAATTCTGAGAGAAGGTTTTCAGACTGAAGAAAAATAATACCAGATGGAACTCTAGACTTACAGAAAGTAATGAAGAGAACCAGAAAGGGTAAATATTTGGTTAATGTATGTACTAAAAATAAGAATACTAAAACAATCTTTTAATAAAAAATTAAAATACTAAAACAGTATTTTAATTTCTTCAAAAATATATTGACTATATGAAAAAAGTAATAACAACCTGTTGGGTCTATTACATGTGTAGAATAAAATAGAGCACAAAGGTCAGAAAAGGGGAACATTTTTACAATTATAAACTTGAAGCTATGAGGTTCTCATATTGTTTGCCAAGTACCATAGTATTATTTGAGGGTAAACTTTGAAGACATATGTTATTATTTCTAGACTGAGCAATCTGTAAAAAACAAAAAAGCATATCAATAGAGTCAACAGATAGGAATAGAGTAAATACTAAAAACTACTTTATTCAAAAATAAGGCAAGAAGAGAAATGGAATAATGGTCAAATGGTATAAGACAACAAGATGGGAGATTAAAACGCAACCATATTAGTAATTACATTAAATATAAACAGATTCCTGCTAAACACTCCAAAAGGCAGAGATGTTCAGGCTGAATAAAAATTTTCATCTATATATTCTTTTAGAAAAAACACTTTTAAATAAAAAGACACAGACATTGAAAGCAACAGGTGGAAAAAAGTATACCATGAAAAAAAAACTAAGCTTTTCAAAGCTGATGTGGTTATACAAAAATAAGACAAAGGAGACTTCAAGATGAGTATTACCAGAGACAAAGAAAGGTATTTCATAATGATATATGGATTAGTTAATCAAGAAGACATAGCAGTCATCAATCGTAAGCATGCGTTTACCTAATAACAGAGCTTCAAAGTGAATGAAGCAAAAATTGATAGGACGAAGAGAGAAAAAAACAAATTTTCATTCACAGTTGATATAATGTTTAGTTTTGTGTTAACTCAGCCAAGCTGCAGTATTCAGTTATCTAATCAAACACTAATTTAGGTTGCTGTGAAAGTATTTGGTAGGTGTAGTTAACATCTACAATTCATTGTCTTTAAATAAAGGAGATTACTCTTGATAATGTGGGTGGGCCCTCATCCAATGGCTGAAGGCTTTTAGAAAACTTGAGTTTTCCAGAGAATAATAAATTCTGCCTCAAGACTGCAGCATTAACTCCTTCCTGAGTTTCCAACCTGCTGGCTTGCCCTACAATTCATACTTGCCAGCCCCTACAATTGCATAAGCCAAATCCTTAAAATAACTCGTGTATATATATGTATATATATATACATATATATACACAAGTTATTTATATATATCTCCTAGTGGCTCTGTTTCTCTGGAGAACCTGAGTGATACAGTTTCTTAGTAGTAGTGGTAGACAAAATAATCTGTAAGAATATAGAAGATTTGAAAAACACTGTCAGCCAACTTGATCTAATCAACAAAAGCAGAAAATTCTTTCAAGTACGTATGGAACATTCATCAAGATAAACATATGCTGGGTCATAATATAAACCTCAGTATCAAAGATTGAAGTCATACAGAGTGGTTTTTCTGACCACACCTATATTAAAGTAAGAATCCATAATAGAAATATAACTAGAAAATATCCAATATTTGGAAATTAGGCAACACACTTCTAAATAACCCATGGGTCATAAAAGAAATTATGATGGTAACTTTGTCCTGAATGATAATGAAAAAATGTTATAAATTTGTGAGACGTAGCTAAAGCAGTGCTTAGATGGAAATTTATAGCTTTACATGCTTATTTAGCAAAGGAGAAAGGTTTAAAATCAGTGCTCTATACTTCCACCTTAAAAAGTTAAACAAAGATAAATTATACTGAAATTAAGTAGGAGAAAGGAAAGAATAAAAATGATAGAAATCATGACATATATAATTAATTTTTAAAATATTTGTCAGATTTTCCAACACAGACCACGACTCAGGAATAATTATTTCCACGTGTGAAATCAATCATATCATCTTGCTTAAATTCTTTCACTGCCTCCCAACTTCAAACTCCTCAGAGTAACAAATAGTACAGTACCTGGTTAGGGAGTCAGAACTATGTCTTTCTTGCCTCCTAAGTAATGGGTATCATTCCTGATATATAGAAGACATTGAATAAATATTTGTTAATTATATGAAATAATTAATTAATTTAAAATGATGAAGAACTTTTGAGGTCAGACGCTGCTTACGTGCCCATTTCTTGGGTCAGTGTCATACATACTTTCCACTTGAGTAATGAGACAACTGCTATTTCTCTTACAGTCCAGGTTATCTTCTTACATGTGTTTCTACTGCTTAGCATCCTCCACACCAAATGTGGATGGCTGGGCCATTTTACCTCATTCTCTACCTATTACAGTACTTAAACGTCATCTCTCCTGTGAAGCATTTCTGTGCTGCTGCAGGAAAAGAGCCATTCTATCACCTACTCCAACAGCATTTATTAGCCTGTATCTTTTCCAGCTCCGTTGAGAGCTTCTTGATCAGAGAGGGTATCTTTTGCTTCTGTATCCACAAAACCTAGCGTTCCTGATGCACGGTAGGGGATAAAAGTGCAAATAAACACAGACACAAATACATTAATTTCTTGGCAATATATTACACATAATGAATTGTATCAATAAGAGTAATATCAGTGACTGGATAGTTTAAGATACATTCTTAAAATAGGTTGTCCCTAACTGAGTATTAAGTAAGTAGTAGGCACTGGATTCAGACCAGCTCGATTCAAGTCTGTGTGCTGCCCCTCATCAGCACTGTAGACTTAGACAAGCTATTTAACTTCTCTATACCAAATCCACAAAATTGGGATTTAAAATGAATCTACCTAATACTGCTGTTGTGAGGATTTGATATAATCTTGGGACATGCTTATTAGTAAAGTAGCTGGCAGGTAGTTACTCAGTAATTTATTGGTTGGTTTTTTTGTCGTTATTATTATTGATACTTACAGTTTGGAGTCAGATATGAGCCTGACTTGCCACATCATTTACTGTGAGATTTTGGATAAAGTGGCTAACTTCTCTGAGTTGCAGTTTATTTATACATACAACGGTGAAAACCGGGTATAGAGCTGCTGTGTTGTGTTTTCACTAAGATATTGCAAGTCTGTATATAGTAAATGCTTAAAAGATTGGGAATTTTTGTTATTTTGATTTCTTCAATATCTATGGTTTTCTCTAGGATGAAGAATGGAAGATGCTGGCAGAGCAAGACCAAGTAGAAGAAGGGAAGAGTGGTAACTGCCACCATGAAAATTTGTTTACATTACGGTAGGCAGACGTTTCAGGGCAAATACTTCAAAAGCCATAAGAATATTTTCAAATGTCCAAAAGCTTCCAATCTAACTATAATAACAAACTAAAACTAAATATTAACAAGAAAAACAAGTGACTTCAAAGACAACCTTAGAGTGGGTTCTTTTCATCCTAAATATGCCTTCTAATTATTTTATAATTATGGATAAAATTACACAGTAGGTAAACTTACTCAGTTTTGATGAGTGAGCAGTATGCCTTATCAATCTGTCTTCATTCATTCACATATTGAGAGCCGTCATAGCTGTATAAAGCTTGGCTTTTGCACAAAGTAAGTTTAATATTAGCTTTAGTTTAAAAATAAGCTGAAGTTAAATGAGATTGTATGACTCATTATGTTTTGACTAATAGGGAAAAAAACCTGTGTATAGCATTTTGTATTTTAAGGGTGAAAATATAATTTTTTGACCCTGAAGTTTTAAAACTTTTAATATGTGTGTAAAAATGATTAGCTCTATCGAGAAAAGGTATCTCTTTATAACTGCAGACATTATTTTATTTTATGAGCAAGGTTCAATAGTTTTATTCAACTAAGTTACCGTGGCTTTGTTCTATATAATAAATATAGGTATAAAGCATGTCATCTGAAATGTAAAAGGAAGATACATCTATTGGCCTAAAGTTAGCTGCTTGTCTGATTTTACCCAGGTAAGAAATGTACAAATGTGTTGGCCATTGATGAAAGGGAATGTTGTTTCATAATGAATGATTTCTCTCTGCTAGTTTAGAGAACATGTTAGCCAAAGTCTATGCAACTAGTTTCAATCTGGGCTTATGGTTGGCATTCAATATATATTTCTTGTTTCCTAAGAGTCACTCAACCATAAAAATTTGGGAAGTATTTGGTAAATAAGATTTCTACTTTCTGAGAGAGTTAACAAAGTAAAAGAAGACCTCCCCCCATGTAAGAAATGATCTAGTGGTGGAGTCAAGAGAAACACAACTGAAAACATATAAGAAAAGATGCAGAATGAGAGCTCAGGGTGAACCACGGATAATAGACTATTCAATGTGGTCTGTTCTGATCAGACCTTGACCCGACTTATGAAGGTGGACCAGATGCCAAGTATTAAAGGATACTGCGGCTGGTGAAATAAAGAGAGGCATTACCAAAGAAGTTCATTAATTCACTGGAAAAATGAAGAAGTAAAACTATTGTCATGGGTGACTGGGGTCATGAGCGGAAGAGGTAGAATGTGCTCTAAGGGTAAGGATAAAAACTTAATTGTGATGGGGGGAAAAGTCAGGCCTGAAGCCAGGGGATGAAAAAAATAAATGAGGGGAAAGGTAATAAAAGAGTTGGGTGATTTAGGAAGCTAAGTCTGTGAACAAAGGGAATGTACCAATGCTCTTCCTTCATGCATGGCCCAGGGAAAGCTTTACAGGGTTTAAGTGGCCTCTAAAGGCACCACTCTGCCAGGCTAGATGCTGAGCTAAATTATAATTGTGCTGCTCTCTTTCATTTGAGTGGGTGCCTTTGTTTATTATCCATAAGTGACTGCTTCTCAAGAGATCAATATTCTTGGTTCCATTCTTGATATTTCAGCATTCTTATCAATTAGAACATGGCTTTTTACCCCCAGCATCTTAGCATGATGTCCCAGACATTTTTTGCTGATTCTTAATACTTCGTTTACAAACATAATACCCTTCCTAAGCCCCCCTTTCAGCATCCAGCAAATCAAAATGCTAAGATATAGCATTCTCGAGTCCAAGGAATGTTACAGTTGTCACCCCAAAAATTAGAACAACAATCACACGAATTACAACTCTTTTATTCAGAACACAAGTCTGCTATTCTTGAGCTCATTCAACAAATATTTATCAATTATCCTCATATGGTTTCTGTTTTTTGTACAAGTGCTTTGTATAACATCTTTAAGCCTTTTAGGGTGTGTGTCCTTATTCGGTGACCTTTGGTTGGGAAAAAAACACCTAGCTTTTGATTACCACCTCATGCCAACTCCCTAAAGGATGTGCTGCAGGTGTAGGGCGTAGTTTTACTGATTACTCACTACTTGTGATCCTGCCAATTTTCATTAATGGGAATATTTCTATCGAAACTTAGCATTCTTGAAATGATTTTCTTGTGGCTCTACCATGTAGTTCTTTTTGCCAATCCCTGATATCAGAAGTTTTTATAACTGACCTCTGAGCCCTTGGTCTGTATTCCCTTTTGTCTCCTGGATATAAATGTGGATTCATTAGATGTTAGGCCAGGGTTACCTCATAAATCATTTCTGGACTTTTCAAGGTGAAGCAATGCTCCCTTAACAGAGTCTTAGAAGGGAAGAATATTCTTCTTTTCTTTATTCCTTACTTATTCAAAGACACTCAAACTATATTTCACTACTGGTGGAGATTATTTAGTACAGCTGGACTGACTTTCCAATGCACTAAGAATGTGTTCATGGAAATTGGCTCTAGAGCAGTGCTTCTCTGACTTGAATATTCGTATAAATTGCCCAGGGATCTTGTGAACAGGCAAATTCTTCCAATCAGTAGGTCATTGAGTTTCACTTGTGCAATGAAATTAATCCCTTCCTGAACTCTGACCCCAAGGATCTCCAGTGTTTCCTGGAGTTTGTTAGAAATGTACAGACATGGGTACCACCCAGATTTACTAAATCAGAATATGCATTTTAACAAGAGCCCATGTAATTTGTTTGTACATTGAAGTTTGGGAGATATTGTCCTAAAAATCACACAGAATCAGGCAAAAGCAAAAGCACAATTATTATACCCTCTTTCATTATATCTTTACTGTGTCCTTCTCTGATTATTCCATAAGGATGCAGCTGTGTGTAGTATCGTTCAAGCTACAAGATAAGTAGCTTGCCTGAACTACCTTCCCTTGTGTACTGAATCTTGAAATATTGAAGTCATTTCCACTACCAATATACCAATGGTTCCAAACTGGTGCCTCAGGGCTGTGTAAAGAATGAAGATATGTTTTGTTGGTCATTTTGTTTGTCTTGCACATGATTAAAAGGCAATGTTAATGAGCAGGTGGGAAAAGATTAATACCTATCTTCTTACACAGAACCTGTATCATACATAGGTATCACACAACATATCTATAGGCATTTGAGTTTGGGATCCTTTAGAGCGGTGATTCCCAATGTAAATTCTATGGAACAGTATTTTGAGAGCACTAAACAAGTATTATTTGAAAAAATGTTTCTGTGATCCACTAGGTTTGAGTGAAACAAAAAAGTTTTTTGAAGGTTATTTCAGAGGCTTTAAAATACAGCATATTGTTTGAATCTCCACTGCAACATTTTCCAAACTCATTTAGTCATGGAACCCTTTGTCACAGAGGATCTCAAAGGATTAAAGTTCTGTAGGACATACTTCAGACCAGCGGTTGGCAAACTACAGCCTGCAGACCAAATTCAATCCACTACTTGTTTTTGTACTGCTCATGAGTTAAGGAAAGATTTTCAATATTTAAGTGATTACAAACCAAAGAAGAATAGTACTTCGTGACATGAATAAAAACAAAAAAAAGAATAAAAAACAAAGGAGAATAATATTTCCTAAAAAATTATATGAAATTCAAATTTCAGTGTTCATAAGTAAAGTTTTGCTGGAATATGGCCACACTCATTTAGACATATTACCTATGGTTTCTTTCATGCTACAGTGGCAGAGTTGAGCAGTTGAGGAAGAAATCACATGTCCTGTAAAGATGAAAATATTTATAACCTGGCCCTTTATACAAAAAATTTGCCAGCACCTACTTTAGATGACACTGGTAAAAAGGCCTAGCCTCTGAATCTGCAAGATGATAATAACAGTAATATCTTTTCTGGATGAGTACAGGTGTGTTAAAGATAACAACATGCCATAGCAAATCAATGTTTTCTCATAGAGACACTTTAAAGTCAATATAGACATGTAAAATACCCATTTTAATAAATTACAATAAGAATTTCTTTCTGAGAATCACCACAAGTAACTTTCAGACTTTTAAAAATATAGAGAGTTTATATTTGGTAGCTAAATTGTGCAATATTCGGTTATTACAAATTTTACCTGAATCTATTTTTAATGTCTCAAACTTTTTGATCTCAGGAGCCCTTTGCAATCTTAAAAATTATCGAGGACCTCAAAGCTCTTTTATTAATGTGGGCTATACCCATCAATATTTATCAGATTAGAACTAAAAACTGAGAAATTAAAAAATATATATTTATTACTCATTTAAAAATGACAATAAACCATTTCATGTTAATATAAATAACAGATATTTTGTTTAAAATAAGTATAATTTTCAAAGAGGGTCATTATTTGACATTATTTTGCAAATCTCTTTAGTTCAACAGGCTAGTTCAGTTCAGTGGGAAACAGTAGATTTTCATCTATTTTGCCATTTAATCTAATATGATATCACACATCATTAGGTCTCTGGAAAACTCCACTGTGCACTTGTAAAAGAATGAGAGTGAGGGCTTCCCTGGTGGCACAGTGGTTGAGAGTCCACCTGCCAATGCAGGGGACATGGGTTCGTGCCCCGGTCTGGGAAGATCCCACATGTCGCGGAACGGCTGGGCCCATGAGCCATGGCTGCTGAGCCTGCGTGTCCAGAGCCTGTGCTCCGCAAGGGGAGAGGCCACAACGGTGAGAGGCCCGCATACCGCAAAAAAAAAAAAAAAAAAAAAAAAAAAGAATGAGAGTGAGAAAGGTAAATAATGTTTTGGAATTATTATGGAAGTATGTTTTACTTTATGTACTCTCTGAAGGGGTCTCAGAGGCACTTTGAAAATTGCTACTTTTTTGTAACTGAGAATGAACGATTAAACTTATATATCACATGGACATACACAAACACACACACACATTTACAGTGGTAAAAATTACTGATGGTCCCCAATTTAGAAGGTAGTATGTTTCAAACATTTGTTTGTAAACTACCTGATTACTTGCTAGACCCATTGACTTGCACTAATAATATTTCAGAATCAATCTATTTGTTGTGTTAATGATTGCATGTAAAAATGTATTCAGAGTCCAAGCCTAGAAGACAGGAATGTGACTCCCTTCTTGCTGACTAGCAGTGGTGTTGGAACCCCTATCTCTGCATCACTCCTCAACGGCCAGTGAAATTTGGAATTTCTTCAGCTCCAAGCAGCTAGAAGCAAGAACATGATGCCAATAGGGACTTAGAGTGTGTGGGAGGTAAAGTGACTTTGTTTTATGAAGTGCAGGAATTAGTTAAACCTTTTTCCACCTTATTGCTTTTGGGCTTTGGATCACGTCTTATTTTCGTGTTTTCTGCAGAGCAAACTCAATCTCACTGTTTTCTCCATATGCTCCTGTATTTCTTAAGCTTCTAATAACTCAAATTGGCTTAAAGAAAAGATAATCTTTTTGGCTCACATAAGATCTGGGTATAAAAGGTGGAATTGGCCTTAGACGTGTTTAGATGTCTCAAGACTTTCTTTCTCTTTTCTCAACTCTAGCTTCTCTGTGTTGACATCATCCCTACTTAAACTGGTCCTTCCCATGTGGTGAAAAATATGGCAACCAGAATGCAGTCTTTCCAGAAGGAAAGAGAAGGAGAGAGATTTGCTTTTTGTCAATGCTAATGTCAGTCTCAGATTAAAGGATGCTAACTTTCCAGCCCAGGTCACATACCCATGCCT